GACATAAAAAAAGGAAATTTATTTTGGTACGTAAGTACTTTTAAAAGCAAGTACTTCTGTACTTTTACTTAAGTAAAAATCTGTCTTTACAACTTTTACTTGTAATGGAGTAATGTTTGACCAGCAGTATCTGTACTTTCACTCAAGTAATAGTTGAGTACTTTGTCCACCTCTACTCATACTATGTTCATTTTACTTGTGCAGCTCTTACAATGGGTCATAAATCGCCTTAAATTTATTTGTTTTAAATTCTGCAGATACCCTGTAAATAGTGAAATTAAATTCCTTCCTTCATATTTGTTGATATTTGCGTATTGAAAATATTTCTGATTGACATTTAAACTACTATCTGATTTTCTATATTTAAAGAGTACCTGCCCGAAGGGCTACCAGGGATTTTAAAATTTTGCGAGCCCTGAGTACTCCAGGGTTCCGTCTTGGTACTAAAGCACATTCACATGTGCACGCTTCGAAAACAGTGCTTTCATTCTCTTGACCATTTAAAAGATCAATTAAATTTGCATATATATAGAATATACTGCATGTTAGCTTGCTTATTTTGCTTGAGAGCATGATCTATTTAATCTGCGTGTCATAGTAACAAGACGCTAGGTTTCTAACCACAGGTTGAGAGTAGTAGTTCTGACCACAAAACTTTGTGATTCTGTTTTTTGTAAAACAGACTGGAATAATGCATGCAACAGCAATTTCCTTTCCCTGTTCCAAGCGCTCTATAATCACTCCAGGTTTCCAGTAGCCGTTATTTAAAATATCAGCAATTTCGGACCGCTGCTTTGCCAATCGGATATGAGAACTGGAATTGTTGTATCTCTTTCTTTTCCTCTCCGCAGGATGCTTTAGAAGTTTGTCAGACGCGAGTGAGTAAGTTGGAGTTACAGCAACAACAGCAGCAGGTCTTGCAGTTGGAAAGCGCCGACGCCAAAGTGCTGCTGGGAAAATGCATCAACATCATGTTGGCCATCGTCACCGTGATCCTAGTCTGCGTCTCCACTGCTGCTAAGTTTTCCGCTCCACTGATGAGGAGTCGTCTACACATGTTTGGGACTTTCGTATGTGTGTGCCTACTGGTGTATAGCTGGAGCAACTGGGAGCATTTGCAGTGTGCAATAGAACGGATGCTGCTGCCTAGATGAGGGACATGAAACATGTGTCTGCATGCGTGTTCAGTGATGTTCTCGTCAGATAAAGTGCTCCTCCTGGGATATTCCCTTTACAATGTGACTGTCCCAAGATGATGGCTTTAACACTTTCTCTTTTTACATTTTTTTGTCTGTTGTGTTTTTGTGTGGATGTGAAAGAGTATTCATGATGTACTGTAGCAGAAACGGGTCCATCTCTGTGACTGTATTGTGTTATTTCAAATAGATTTTGTTAGCGGTCTTAAAAGTAAAGGTTAACCACCATTTTACATGTTTTATGTGCTTATTTTTTTAGGTGGTGATGGCTCACAAAAACACATCTCGGTAATATTTCATTCCACAATCATAAGAAAAAAATATTTTGCATAAAATTAGAGACCGTAGTGTTTTTGCATTTTATTTCATTATTACATTTTTTTTGTATTGTGACATTATTGTCATTATATATTTTATCATGGGTGTTTTACTTTTACTTTTGAGTAATTCTCATCATTCTTGATCATTATAATTCGTTTCTTATTACTGTGATGCATTTGATTCTATTAGGAAACAAGAATTTACGATCATTTTAATAAGTAACTTTTTTTCTTATTTTAATTGCGGTAATGAGAATGTTTGGGAGATGTGTTTAATTATCATACTGTTAGAATGCAAAAATTAATAATGGTCTTAAATGTTTGATTTTCTTTATGCACTAAAACGTATACTTTATTTAAAATTTTGGGTGAAATGCAAACAAATACACACGTTTTAGACATGCTTTGTGAGTTTCATCCATTTACTGTTTTATAGCATTATTTGTACTAATGAAATGGCCTAAAGTTCTTTTCACTGGCACTTTAAACACATCACCCAGGTTTTTTGAGAATGTGTTTTTTTTTTGTTTGTTTTTAATTCTTTAGTCTGAGCAGTGGTGCTCTGTACTGACCACAAAAGATGGAAACACTGTATTCTTGTTTGTTATGCAATAGAAATGCCTTGGGGTTATAGAAACTAGAACATGAGAAGGAAACCAATGTCTCTGTCAAGTGTATGTAACATTCTGAATGGTCCCTCATGGAAGTTAGAAAGACTATTTTTATATACATCTGTTTAATTTGCTTTAATGATTCCCACAATGGAAACCGATTTCAGCATTATTACCACTGTCCCTTTGAGTGCGTGCCTACCTACCTGTGGTTTTGACTGGAGATTGTATAAGCCACAAAATCTGAGTTTACCCATCAACCTGAACTAAAATGTGGTGTTGTACTAGAGTTAATGTGGCCTTTTACCTATAAACATGGGGAAAGTGATTTTATTTGTTTTATACATGCTTCAGTGTCCATGTGGTAGGAGACTGTACTGGTCTTAAATATTATCTAAACTTAACAATAAATGGCCTAATTTTTACTGAAATTTGATTATTTGTCGATTCTTTATTTACTCAACCACCTGATGCATTTCTCATTAGATGGAACCATTTTGTTTTTTCTTGTATTTTTTATGAAAATGTAGTTGTTCAGTTCATTTTTATATAACTTGCCTGTGCTGTTTGACATTAGTTACCTGAAAGATGAGACCTGAAGCGTTGAATGTCTTTCATGATTTTTCAAAGGTCATTGATGAAGCTTATGCTTCAGCGACTTTCAGATGGTTGTCGCCCTCTTGTGGTTGATGAAGGAAACGGAGCTTGAATGAACTTCGGTATGAAACTACAGGGGAAAAAAGCTTCCATTAATGTCGTCTGACTAGCGGAATAATAAACTTACGCTGATGATACACGGGCAACTTTTTGAGCAATGATGCCGGGCAACTTTGGCTATGTTGCCATCAACGGGCAACCAGGTGAGACACAGGGCCCACGACCGACAAAGTATCCAGATAGAAATTTGTTACCCATTATCAATGGGAAATTGCCCAAGCAAGCAACATTGCTCAAAAAAAGTTGCCCGTGTATCATCAGACTTACAAGCATGACAGCCACTCCACTATATTTAACAAAACTCCAGGCTAGATCTAAAGAACGAGCTTTTAAATCCGAAAAGACTGCCGAACATCCAATTTACCCCAAACGATTCAGTCGGAGTATCGATTAGCTTACCGTTTGACGGCTTCTTTAAGAAGAACCGACTCGAAAGATTGAACTATTTGCCAATAGGACATTGCTGGGCAACTTTTTGAGCAATGATGCCGGGCAACTTTGACTATGTTGCCATCAACGGGCAACCAGGTGAGACACAGGGCCCACGACCGACAAAGTATCCAGATAGAAATTTGTTACCCATTATCAATGGGAAAGTGCCAAGCAAGCAACATTGCTCAAAAAAAGTTGCCCGTGTATCATCAGACTTACAAGCATGACAGCCACTCCACTATATTTAACAAAACTAGGCTAGATCTAAAGAACGAGCTTTTAAATCCGAAAAGACTGCCGAACATCCAATTTACCCCAAACGATTCAGTCGGAGTATCGATTAGCTTACCGTTTGACGGCTTCTTTAAGAAGAACCGACTCGAAAGATTGAACTATTTGCCAATAGGACATTGCTAGTACATATTCTAGAGACGACTATACTGATGATGTTGTAATAGTTGAATTGTTATCAAAAAAACTATTAGTTTGTACACATACAGAGTATCTACTGAAAATGTAGTTAAGCTAACAGCGTCGCTACTTGTAGTTCGCTACTCCGCAACAATGTTTCAAGATTTTCAGTCAAGACTATTTCGTTTTTGTAAAATTATCTTGAATGTTTTCTTGAATCTTGAGTTAGGCTGTTATTGCGTCTGATTTACGGACTTTTTTCTGTCTCAAATGTCACTGCAATATGGAAGGCGGACGGGGCCAAAAGTCGCATTTCAGGCGTTCCGTTTAAAGTCATTTGGCCCCGTCCGCCTTCCATACTGCAACTTCACCATTGAAATCGATTAAACCGACAGTTGAGAGAAGATTGCGTCACAACGTAATTTACATATGTGACCCGTGCTGGCAAAATCGAGTCGGAATGTGCACGGGCTAATTTTGAGCTACAGGCAAAAAAGTGCATTTTTGTTTCGATTTTGAGGTTTTCACAAAAATGAGTTCATTAAGCCCTCGTCTAGCGATCCCAAATGCTCCAAATAATTATTTTAGATGTTTAATTATCTTTATTTGTACGTTTTCCGAGGCCTAACTTTCTCAGCTTGCTTCTCACGCTGACTGAAATTATATTAGATCTGTGCATTACAGTAGGTCTTATAGCTGTATCTGTCTGTCTCATTAATGTTAACAATAAAAGAAAAGAGATTTGAACTGCTTTTGTAGTTTTAAGAATCAATTTATTTGTAATGAACAGACTAAAGGGATTTTTACATTTGATTAGGCCTGTTTGTTTTTCTTACTTGAATGCATCTGTTTAGATGTAAAATGCAAAAGTGAATGCATTGTTTCTTTCTAATATTTGTTTTCTACTGTTTTTTTTTTTTTTTTGCATCTGTTTTTATTTATAATAACAAAGATAAAATAAAAAAATAGCTATATTGTGATTATTAATATAGTAATTATTATTAAGAAAAGAACTGGCGGAAAAGATGCAACGTTGCTCTGTGATTTTGCTTTGGAACTTTCAGAAAACTTTGAACTCGAATTTTCTCAAAATTGACTTTGCTGATTCTAACAGGTGTAAGCTCAGTCATTTTTCGTCTGATTCCATGCATCATTCTGAAGGTCTTTTAATAGAGAATGTGAAAATAAAAAGAACTCATTTTTGAAAATTTGCTCATTGTGACTCATTTTGCCAGCACAGGTCACATGTGCAGTTGACTCAAGCTTTTTATTATTATTAATAAATGGTTATTGTATTATCAATATTATGTGTTTAAATATTTAATAAACATCGTATATAGTTGTTTTGATAATTTTGCTGTTTCCACAGTTTTATGAAAGTAAAAAGACAAAACAATAAGCCACAGTGGTTTATTGCTTCATCACATAATCTAAAGGAATTTTTATTTTGGCATTTCATTGTCACCATACTTAGTTTTAACAAGCAGATCCAACCTGATTTGCTGCTCACAACAATGGAGGGGCTTATTCCGCCCAGAGGAATGTTTATTGATATTGCACACTGCAAGATTCCTCATATTTAGGACACAATAAACTGAATGAGCTTTTTTCGTAGTTTCATAGAAAAGGCAAAAATATGCATATTGAAAGGGATACCTTGAATTGGTCAGGCAGTTAGCAACTTATTTTTGACAATACAAAATTGCATTTACATGGTTGACATCTGATTATAGTCTGAGCTTATAACATTATTAATTCGTTTTTGGTCATAGTAGTTAAGCGCAGGTGCTGTAGATGGTGATTTTCTGACGGAGTTCTTGCAGTACATCTCTGGCCTCATTCTCCAGCCCATCCGTCTCCTGAGCTTTCTCCACCAGAATGTGCTGATTTATCACAAATGATCTCTCCAACTCTGGAAGAGTTAAAGAGAAAGAAAAGTGAGGAATCATAGGCAAATCTATAATCTAATATTCAAGTCTGTGAGCAGTTTTACCTCTTAGTCTCTGTAGTTTGTTTGTGGCACCTATTAATAGATCTTTTGCCTCCTGGCGTAGTTGCACAGCCTTCTGATGAGCTTTAAACACACCTGCTGCCTTTTGATCTGTCAGACCACTGACCAGTTAGTATTTAGGTCACACATGTGAGTCAAACTCTTAAAATAGACAAATATACAAATGCTGCGTGTAAGGGTCAAAAGCATATAAGAGCGTCCCAGATTTAAAACAAATAAAAAGAAAGAACCAAAAGTTTTGAAAACCGAAAACCAAAAAAAACTGCTGTATGGCTATAATCATATGTATTCAAGAAACGTATCGGTTTAATGTCTGTGGTGTAACCAAGAAGGTAAAAGTAATATTTTCCTTACACCTTAAATATATTTAACTTGATATTTATATCTTAACATTTCAAATGTTTTTAAATATATTTTTTCCAGGTTAAAATATGATAAATTGTTCATTCATTGTTAATAATTCAAGGAGAGAGTTCCACCACACGATTTCTTAACTGAACTAACCTTGCCTTTTAATATAAGGACTAATAATAAAAGATTATGCCAAACTACTTGCTACATTTTTATTTTCTGGACATTCCTTCTTTATTCTTCATGATGTATCACTCTAACATTTTTTACTTTATGTCCTCCAAAGCATTATCTAAATGTATTGTAATACATACATTAAAAACATATTCAACATATTATCGTGTAGGCTATTCAAGAATCTGTATGTGTAAATTTCATTTGAATGTATTTTTTAAATAAATGAACAACATCACTGTTAAAAGCTAGTTACCCGTTCTGTGTGCTCGATTTCTGCTGTGATGTTTTCAGTTTGTCTCGGAGTTTGATCTGCACTACTGGACGTTTCTAGAGTTTTCTGTTGGAGTTCGTCAACCTCTCTCTCAAGATCCAGAAACTTTCCTGTGCTGCTACTCAGTTTGAACTTCAGTTTTTGATTGTACCTGTAGACACACATTTTATAGAATTAAAAAAAAAAAACAGATTATGTTTAAAGGACACATAGGGATTTTAAAGGCAGGCCTCTCTCTCATCTTTTTAAGTGGGAGAACTTGCACAATTGGTGGCTGACTAAATACTTTTTTGCCCCACTGTATATACTCACATCAGTGATTTGTTGTTTGGTTGGCAGCAGTCTGAGCACGCACAGTATCCTCTAGAGTTTCCTTCACTTCATCAGTGGTCTGTTTCAGTGCTGTAGCTCTCTCACTGTGATACACACACAATGACACAAAACACACACAGTTATGTGTGCAAAGGATGTTTTTGTGTTGCAGGGGTAGATTTTTTATTACAGTACATGTAACAGACTTTATGTGTTTTTTTAGAAGGTTCCTTCTCATTAAAATATTCTTGTGTGTGTATATATAATTTTTTTTACTATGCCATCATTTATTTTTTTCTGCTTTTCAAATGATAATCTAAACATAGAGTGAAATGTGAACTATTTCAATATTTACTGTGTGAAAAAAATGTATATAATTTTTTACACAAATTATGATTGTCCCTTAGATGCAACACCATTTAGCCAAAAATAGACGGCAGTGTCAGTGAAGAGCATGCTTGAGGTCAAATAAGGTACTTCAAATAAATCAAATATCACTGAAGAATATTTTTTATAAGTGCGTTACAATCAAGCTGTGATAGTAGTCTTAAAATGATTTATATTCAGTTATATTTGTCATGTTAATTTATATTTTGTATTGATTTTTTATTACAACCAGAGGTACCGCAGGTAGATATCAACATACAGTAGATAGCAGGGCCTTCAAGAGCCTCTGTCTTGGACAAAGAGGAGCCCTGGAGTCAAAAAGGTTGAAAATCTTGTTTTGTATCTACTGTTGGACATTGTTAGTGGACAAATTAAATAAACAAGTGAGTTTTAAAAGTATACTTTTGAAAGTTTAATGTCTAAAAGGCCCACATAGAGTGCGTGTGATTACTCACTTGGCAGCCTGTGCTTCTTGTAGGAGTCTCTCTGCAGTGCGAGTATTCTCTGCCGTCTGGGTCAGTCTGGCCACATGTTGGCGGATCTCCGTGGTCACGTTCTTTAGTGCACCAGGCACTGACACTGGCAAACTGTTTCATCACCTCATCAGCTACTTCCTCTATACGCTTTGGATCAGTTTCGTCTACACAAACAATCAGATTCAAGTTTTTCACATAAATATTCAGATTTTTACTGTATTTGTGACATGATATAATCATTTATATATGATCTACCATGGTCTTACTGTATATATCAACGGTTTGTAGCAAAAAGACAATGGATATAAGTTGTTATACTTTTCACAAATATAGTGGCATTTCATGCAGATCTGCATACCTTGCAGACTATACATTGTGTGTTTGAAGTCTGTTAGTATGCTATTCTGAACACAGCCAAAGTGTGACAAGAGTGTTTACTATATGTGACAATCCATACTTGTGAGGAAGTCTTTGCTGAATGAGGTCTCTTGAGCTCCTCATTGGTCTGTTCCACTCGTGCTTTGCTCTGATTGGCTCTCAGTAACACATCCTGAGCATTGAGCTTGGCCTTATCTGCATGTCCTCGAGCATCTGACACCTGCAAGAAACACACATGCATGTCCTTATTTGCATGCCTATACTTATCAAAAACAGTTTTGCTGATTAATATTTTTCTGGAAACTGTGATCCATTTTTCAGGGTACTTTGATGAATGTCAATGTAAAAGTCTTTACTGTCACTTCTGATGAATTTAATGTGTTTGCAGAATAAAAATATTAATAAAAAAAAAAAAAACGCATACTAACCCAAAACTTTGGTAATGTGTATGTTATACATTTCAATTTCAGGGGATTTAATTAATAAATTAAAGGGGTCATATGATGTTTCTACTCACCATACTGTGATGATGCCCTGTCCGGCCGGAGCGATGAGACAAAACCAATAAAACCCATTACAAACTAGGCATTTGTTGCATCTAGAGGGGACATAATTACTGATAATAATTACTAATACTGTCTTTTTACGCGTTGCATTGCATCACGCCACGTAAACATAAAACCATGTCTGCATTTGTGATCGGAGAAATAACAAACAACATGCGCTACTCTACACTGCTCAAAACTCGTGATTGAATAATCAGTGGAAAATTCTTTAAATATGAAAACGTACTTACAGGCTATGTGTCAGAAGAGCCAGACTGTCCTTGCAAAGTTGGAATTGCCCCACTTTATAGAAACAGCCTTTGTGCACAGACGGTATTGTAGGCTACTCTCCCAGGTTCAGGAAACAGTCCTCCATAAAATGTGTTGCACACATCTGAATATTTGGTTTTAACTGTTCTGGAACAGTGTTGTAAATACAACTTAACCACTGATTTCTAGTTGTGTCCTCTTTTGGAAGACCAAACAAAGTAGTTTCGCTTTCACAAACGAAACACACAGCGTCTCCACGACATGGCGGCGGTGGTAACAATACTACAGCGAGAATCAAAGTTACGCCTTCTTTCTTTGCGTGAACATTTGGGCTATGTTATGCAAATCTTCCCACACAGTGACGTAGACATGTGGGGGCGTGTTTAAACGAGGCGTTTTAGGAGGGCGAGGACGAGTCTTAACTTTTATAAAGAATATCTCTTTGGGTTTGAGACTTTAGTATTTGCAACTTTAGGGATCTTAACTATTCACCAACAGCTTGTAACACTCCAAAGAGAAAGGAAAACTTGAAATCGCATTATATGACCCCTTTAATGAATTATAATAATACTGTTGTGAATAGCTACCATATTGTTAAGCTTGTCTACTTCTCTTAAAGCGTGCAGGAAATCTTGTTTTTTTTACTTTGTTCTAAGTCTCTTGAATTTGAGTCACAATGGTCTCACATACTTCCCCACCACACTGGGATGTGCCATCCTCGCTCATACATCCCAGACCACCACAGTTTCCGCAACCATCTAGACCGGACACCCCTCCGCACACCTACACACACACATTTACACATTCAATAACTCATGAAAACATAAGTCTGATACATTCAAATAATAAGCACATTGTTTCACTTTTGACTAATATTTCTCAAAAGTACTTATGCTATGTGTCTGAGAACTGATTAGCACAAGCACCAAAATAGTAGTCTTGGGTAGCCAGAGCTTCAGACTGACGGCAGAGCCTGGGATGTTTCCAGCGCGGCTCTCCGCGCTCTCAGCTGGGTCTGCTTTGCCACCAGGTCCCGGATCTGCTTCTCCACGGCCTCCAGCTCGACCTGCACCGAATGCAGCTCGAACGTGTCCTCACCTGCACTCAAAGGTAGACACACATCCGCCATTAAAGCAAGTAACAGTGAGTAAAACAATGGTAATGTGTGTGAATAGAGTATTAGTGTAAGCGAGATTAGCTGCTACCACGCTGGCGATGCTAGCGGGCTATATGCTAATAGCGGACTCGGAAGTCAAAAATAGAACTAGTGCTAACAAAGCGCTCTGGTTGTTTTTGTTGTAGAATACGATAGGAGATATATTCACACGTTATAGAACTGAAAAGGATGGTGTATAAAATTGATTTTAAGATAAAAAATGGGACGACAAAAAATTAACTTGACGGAGCTCAAACTCAAACCACACGGCAGCAAAGACGGTCTGGGAACCTTGGCCGTTTTGAATGGCCAAGGACCGCCCAAGAGGCCATATGACGGACAGGTAAAGAAACCAGTCACGTTTCGTTTTGTGCCGTGTCATGTTTAGGGGCGTGGAAATGTTCCCACAATAACAGACTGGTGTGTAAAGCTATTGGACTTATTTGAAAGATTCTATGCCACGAACTTTCAATATTTCACATACTTTTGAAAATCCAGTGTTTCTTCCATGAGGGGGTTTGTCATCACGGCATCTTTGTTTCCAGGTGGAATTTTAAAGAAAGCGACACATACGTCTCCTGACAATCCTGTATAAGTCAACCAATCCGAGGACGACTTCGAAACTCCTGAAGTGTTTCCAATTTTGTGTGTCGTATGCATCAGACGTTCAGCCAACGGTCTGTGGGCATGACGTCTGAAGCTGAGACTACCAAAATAGTAATGCATGCTGACTCCTTTTGTGCCCAATAAAGTTCCTCCAATAATGAGTCTAGATCAGTGTCCTTACTGATACCTGAAACTCAGCCTATTATAAAAATTTAGGATGAAAAACTTTAACATTTGAAAAATTTGAAATGCTGCCTTTGGAACTAACTGAAAAACTCGGAACGTGTCGTGGAACTTGTGTGTGTCCTACATCATGCTTCACAATGTGTTTATGTTTACATCAACTGTGAGCTCATATGACTCTTAATAGTTTAAAAAGTAAAAAATATTTGTTGTTTTCACACTTATCGTATTGCTTCAGAAGACATTTGATACATCAACTGAGGTCATAGGGATTGTCGTCGTATTCATTTTGCATGTTTTTTTGAAGCATAAACATTTAATGAATACTATAATAGTATATAAATAATACTAAAATGTTCCCATTATGAAAGGTCGTGTTTGGTCATTGCGTCATTTCTATAATTTTTTTTTCTTGCACCAAGTTTAAAATAGCTATTATTGAACACAATGATGCATGCAATGTGAACGCCTACCAAAAAATTTAGGCTTCCTTAAGACCAATGAACTGATTAGCCATTTAGATAACCCACTAACTAGTTTTTTAAAAGATTTTTTTTAAATGTAGTTTAATTACCCGACGGCTTAGCTGTGAAAGGTCTGTGGAGTCCAGTTCAGATCCAATTTTGTCCAGCCTCTGTATATGCAGCTGATGTTTCAGGTTAAATTCTTTCTCTGTGCTCTCTAGTTTGGCCTCTGCAGCTTTCCGTATCTGGGCAGACTTTTAGGTTCTCCACAGCCTGCTGATGGTCAGCAGATACCTTCTCCAGATCTTTTTCAGATCGGTCCATAGACTTTCTCTGGACTGATGCTGTCTCACTAAGGTCAGGGGAAAGAAACTGAAATATCAAAACGTGAACAGTGTGAAAAAGAACTTTGCATGACTTAAATTTATGGCACTTTTTTGAAGCTATCACCATAAATACTTTCACAAGATTTAAAAAAAATCTTGGTTAAAGAGCTTTAAGCCATGAACCAAACCAAACAGGTAGAACCAGAACAAACTTTGATTTGAATCTATCTATCTATCTATCTATCTATATAGAGAGAATGTATGTCATTTGTAGTAATTCATGGGAGTGGGTGGGCACTAAGGTTTTTTTTTTGGTGTGGTTGGTTTGTTTTTTTTCTCTAATTTGTGGAGATTTCTTTGCAGAATCTTTTTTTTAACCAGGAATTCCACTGATAAACAATAACAAACAATTAAACAAAAAAAAGTTTAAATAAGGCAGACTGACGGCGTCAACAGAATCCTATAATATTGATTAACAACCTTGTAGCTCACAGCAGGTCTATCTTTAATAGTTTATAAGTTACAGTTAAAAAGAAAAGAAAAGAACCAGAAACCAGACTGCTGCACTGTGTTCTGCAGAAGAAAGGAAATCATTTGGGTTTGGAATGACATGAGGGTGAATGAATTATGTTAGAATGTTATTTTTTGTTGGTTGTTGAACCATTCCTTTAAAAGAGAGAGGAGAGTATATAAAAATAAAACAATGGACTGATATCAGTGTGAATGTGTAATACATACTTGGCTTGCTGCAGCATCCTCTGCATGTGTGTGAGCCTTGTCATCTTCCAGAATCTGTCTGAGCTGACTGGTTTCATCATCCAGATTTGATATGATGTCTTTATAGTGCGTAGCCATGCCAGTCTCTTTCATTTCCTCTACTGTATCCACCAGTCTCTGTGTGTGATTGGTCAGCTCTCCCACATTAACATCCCATTCGCGGAAACAATGATGACAGGCCTCGCAGTCAGGAAAGGTCCCAATGTAGCCACGTCCACATGAGTCACACCTCCGCCCCGCTATGCCCTCTACGCACATACACTCGCCAGTCATCTTATTACACTGTTGAGTGCCAATGCCTCGTGGATCAGTCGCATGCTGGAACACAAACATGCACAACTGATTTAAAAAATGAAACAATGCCAAAATTCTTATGATTTAAAATCTTGGATGTGAGTGCTGGAAGGAACAGTGAATTCTTGTATGTGTGTGTGCGCTGGAATGTGTGAGAACACATCTGCTTATTACCACGCATGGTATACTATGTGACGAAACGTCTCGGTTACGTATGGTAACCCTCGTTCCCTGAAGGAGGAAAAAGAGATGGATGACCGACGAATTGGGATCTCGCTTAGAGAGACCAATCTACTTCGAGTGTAAACTAAACGAGCCAATGCACATTGGCATGCGATTATTGTATCCAGCTGCCGCTGATCACAGCGTGAGTATAAGTAGGCAGCAGATGCAGCGCATATTCAGGTTTTTGCTGAGGAGCCGAGCCGGTGACCCGGCCACTCAGCGGGGGTACAGGAGCTGTGGCGACATGACGTGAACCATACGTAACTGAGACGTTCCCTTTCAGTCGGTCACTCCCGACGTCACTTGGGATCCCTAACAAAGGGCCACAGGTACTGCCCCTTCCAGTGTCCTGTGGAAGCCACCTGCGCCCCTACTTTTTGGCGTAGGCCAGGTCTTACCACAAGAGGACCAGCTACTGCTGCTATGGCACTACCCAATCAGTAAGACTGAATAATACTTGGAAAACGTACCCGTTCCACTTGGGACAGGGACGTTGCGGAAGCTCCAACCTTCCCAAAGGAGGTTTCGGAAGCAATACACATATGAACATTTCTTAGGTGCATATGGAAGATTGAAGGTGATTGTAATCCTCTTGGAATAGCAGAAGTCTGAAACACGGGCTCTGAGGCCATACCGTGGACTTTACACATATGGGATCCACTTAAGTCTCTACATATGGAACCCAGCTCTCTACCGGTTCTCACGGATTCATCGAGAGAGGGCCTGGCACCGGATGCTCCACCACGTCTGGCTGCCGAGGGGATGGAGGAGCTCAACAGGGTCTACTATATGGACTCTCTGGAGCGGTTTTAGCAAGTCGACCCGAAGCCGGGGCCACTCAGTGCTTCTACCCATTTGAGGTGAGAACACAGGAGGATACCGGCTCCGCACGAAGGCTATAGAATCTAGTGAACGTGTTAGGGGTCGCCCAGCCCGCAGCTCTACAGATATCTGCCAGCGAGGCACCACGAGCCAGCGCCCAGGAGGATGCAACACTTCTAGTTGAGTGAGCACGCAACCTGAACGGGCAGGGCACACCCTGTGCCTGATAAGCCAGGGTGATGGCATCCACTATCCAGTGGGCCATCCTCTGCTTAGAGACAGCATTATCTTCTGCCGGCCTCTGTGACAAAGAGCTGGTCTGAGGTCCTGAAGCTTTGTGTCCGGTCTACGTAGCACCTTAAGGCTCGGACAGGACAGAGCAAAGCTAGGGCTGGGTCTGCCTCCTTCGGGGGCAGCACTTGCAGGCTCACCACCTGATCCCTGAAGGGAGTAGTGGGAACCTTGGGCACATAGCCAGGCCGGGGCCTCAGGGTTACCTGGGAGTCGGCCGGCCTGAACTCTAGGCACGAATCGTAGACCGAAAACGCGTGCAGGTCCCCTACCCTCTTGATGGGGCCAGTGCAAGCAGGAGCAGAGTTTTCATTGACAGAAATTTCTGTCTGCAAAGGCTCAAATGGGCCCTGCTGTAGTGCTGTGAGCACTAGAGTCAGGTCCCAAGAGGGTATAGAGGGGGGCCATGGAGGATTAAGCCTTCTTGCCCCCCTAAGGAACCTGATGATCAGGTCATGCTTCCCCAGCGGCTTCCCTTCTACCCGTGGTTAGCAGCAATTGCAGCGACATAGACTTTGAGGGTGGAGGGAGACAGCCCTCGCTCCAACCGTTGCTGCAAAAAGGACAGCATGACTCTGATCGGGCATCTTCGGGTGTCTTCTCGGTGAGAAGAACACCACTCAACGAACAGGTTTCCACTTCAAAGCGTATCGTGTCTCGTAGACAGTGCTCTCGCTGAAGTGATGGTGTCAACTACCTCTTGGGGTAGGTCATCTAGAACCTCCGCGTCCCGTCCAGGGACCAGACATGAAGTTTCCAGAGGTCTGGACGTGGGTGCCAAAGGGTGTCCCGTCTCTGAGTCAGTAGATCCTTCCTCAGAGGAATCGGCCAAGGAGGGGCTGTCACGAGGAGCATTAGTTCCGGGAACCAGGTCTGGGTGGGCCAATAGGGCGCTGCTCCTCGTCCTCCCTGACCTTGCATAGTGTCTGTGCAAGAAGGCTCACTGGGGGAAACGCATACTTGCGAAGGCCCTGCGGCCAGCTGTGTGCCAGTGTATCCGAGCCGAGTGTTCCCTCGGTCAGGGAGTAGAACAACTGGCAGTGAGAGGTTTCTGGAGAGGCAAACAGGTCTACCTGAGTGGCTCCGAAACGTCTCCAAATCAGCTGGACCGTCTGGGAATGGAGTTGCCATTCTTCCGGGAGCGCAGCTCGAGACAGCTCGTCGGCTGCCCAGTTCAGCAGCCTCAGGAATGTGAACAGCACAAAGCGACCTCAGATGCTTCCGGAGGTGGCGGGCGAGTTGCGACATGTGATGGGAGCGCAGACCACCTTGTCGGTTGTTGTACGCAACTGTCGCAGTGTTGTCCGTGCGGACTAGTACATGCTTGCCTCGTAAGCACCCTTTGAGATGGATCAAGGCAAGGTGCACTGCCAGCAACTCGAGGCAGTTGATGTGCCAATGCAGTTGGGGCCCTGTCCAAACCCCTGACACTGCAAGCCCGTTGTACGTGGCCCCCCAGCCGGTGGTTGAGGCATCCAACCATGGTCTGTGGTGCAGAAGGGTCGACACATGAAGTACTCGTCCTTCAGGTCGATCGCTGCAAACCAAGCTCGGGGACGGATGCACCCTAAGATGTGTTCATACGTCAACATCTTGAATGGTAAACGGTGAAGGACCCGGTTCAAGACATGCAGGTCCAAGATTGGTCATAACCCACCGCCTTTCTTGGGTACAATGAAGTAGGGGCTGTAAAACCATTCATATCGGCTGGAGGGACTGGCTCTATCGCATTCTTCACCAGTAGGACTGTGATCTCTGCACCCAAGACAGGGGCATCTGCTGCTTCACTGAAGTAAAGTGGATGCCCCTGAACTTGGGAGGGCGCCGGGCGAACTGAATCGCATAGCCGAGCCTGACGGTTCAAAGAAGCCATCGAGACGGGCTGGGTAGCGCTAGCCAGGCTCCCAGATGCCACGCAAGGGATCTACAGGTGTACGAGCAGTGGGGCAGCGAGGACGAACGCAGGGACCCGGCCCGGGCGTCTCGTAGCCAGTCCGAGGCGGGGTCTGAGTGTGTGTAACACTGACCTGCGTTCGAGCAGAGGGTGCGTGGGTAGTGCGTTGGTTCGTCCTCCCGATCCGCCCACTGCTGCTCACTGGCGAGAGAGGAGGGTGAGTGTGATACGACACTGGATCGTCCACAACCCCCCGTCCCCTCTGGGGACCCAGAGATAGAGGAAATTGTTCTTTTGTCGATTATTTGTCGGGAAAAAACTAAAGATTCTCCACCCGGACCCCCTCCGGGGGAGGGAGTGGTGAATTCACCATCTCCCGAAGAGCAGGTCCCTCACCCTGCTGGGCAAAGTTCTCCACTGTGTCGCCAAAAAGGCCGGTCTGGGACGCGGGGGCGTTCAAGAATCATGTCTTGTCCATCTCGCGCATGTAAGCCAGACACAGCCAGAAAAGAGGAAATTGTTTGTTTGGTTATAGTTCAATAAGAATACTACACACTTATGCTTAAAGTAAGAGCAGACCCTTATTCAAATAAACTCTGGGTCTCTTGAACTCAGAGAGAAGAGAATAAATCACACTGACACAAATAAACAGATATGCATATACTTTCCAACCAGTTTAAACATTCTGGGAGTCTATTTATGCTGTGTGCATGCATGTATTTGTTTGTAGCAGCCAGTCTTACAAGGACAACTTTGTCAGCTTACCATGGAAACATTGTCTGGTAACATTTTAACCATGTATTGGAGGAATCCATTAAGTTTTCGGATGCTATCTTGCATTTGAGTTACACAAGAATAAGAAATACTAAGAATTTCTCACTTAATCGCTTAATCGCTTACTCACTTAAAGAGAACCAATCTACATTAAAATCAACTGCTGGCAAATATATTGGAGATTTCTCTGAAATAGATAAATAAGACTTTCTGGAATTCTCCAAAATAAGGTAAAAATGTGAACTAATGGGATCCACTTAGGTCTTACATATGGAACCCAGCCTTCTACCGGTTCTCGAGGATTCAGCGAGTGAAGGCCTGGCGCCGGACGCTCCGCCACGTCTGGCTGCCGAGGGGACGGAGGAACTCAACAGGGTCTGCTGTATGGACTCTCTGGAGTGGTTTTGCAAGCCGACCCGAAGCCGGGGCCTCTCAGTGCTTCTACCCATTTGAGGTGAGAACACAGGAGGATACCGGCTCCGCACGAAGGCTATAGAATCTAGTGAACGTGTTAGGGGTCGCCCAGCCCGCAGCTCTACAGATATCTGCCAGCGAGGCACCACGAGCCAGCGCCCAGGAGGATGCAACACTTCTAGTTGAGTGAGCACGCAACCTGAACGGGCAGGGCACACCCTGTGCCTGATAAGCCAGGGTGATGGCATCCACTATCCAGTGGGCCATCCTCTGCTTAGAGACAGCATTATCTTCTGCCGGCCTCTGTGACAAAGAGCTGGTCTGAGGTCCTGAAGCTTTGCGTCCGGTCTACGTAGCACCTTAAGGCTCGGACGGGACAGAGCAAAGCTAGGGCTGGGTCTGCCTCCTTCGGGGGCAGCACTTGCAGGCTCACCACCTGATCCCTGAAGGGAGTAGTGGGAACCTTGGGCACATAGCCAGGCCGGGGCCTCAGGGTTACCTGGGAGTCGGCCGGCCTGAACTCTAGGCACGAATCGTAGACCGAAAACGCGTGCAGGTCCCCTACCCTCTTGATGGGGCCAGTGCAAGGCAGGAGCAAAGTCTTCATTGAGAGGAACTTCAGCTCAACCGTCTGCAAAGGCTCAAATGGGCCCTGCTGTAGTGCCGTGAGCACCAGA